AAAAGTGGGTTTGAAAACTGCCTGCTGGAATCTATTCAAGTAAGTAAATAAAAGGAAATAGTTTTCTTAGAATTACTCTAAGTCAAAGACTTTGAAAATAAACTGTTTGGTTGAAACTTATTGTGAACCCACATATTATATGTTAATAAACTTAGTCATTAATAAAATAAATGGTTAAAATTATAGAATGCCTAAAAATGATATAATTTATTCAAATGTAAGCACAGCATTAAATAAATGGGTACTTAAGGACATGCAGGTAATAACTGAAATTATTTTCATTTCACCAATTCACTAAGACAAATCAATATAGAATATCTCTGATTTTAGATCAGTATTTAATCACTCAATTGAACAAAAAAGGACCACTTAGTCTTATGCAAATAGCTTGCAAACTGGAAAGAGCAATACTGTAACAATTCTTCATCTATGATACATAAACATGGTCTTGGTGGATGCGAGCGGGTTCTGCTCGCTGCTCCTCCCCCACACCACAGGGAACTAGGACTTAGGATTCCTCAGCCTCAAGCATGCATACACAGCAAGTGTGCAGTACAACTGTTCGTGTTCACAGAATCATAAATCCTCTTGTACAGGAAAAGACACCTCTGAAAAGCATGCAACCAAAGCTCGCTCAATTTCAAAATGGCCTGAGAGGACACTGTATGACCTTAAAGCAGAAAACAGTGTTGTCAAATGTCATAAAAATTATATAACATCTACTCTGAAAATCTAAATATTGAAAAAAATTAATGGGATTGAGCTTTACTAATTTTCATTTTCAGCCTCCATAAATCTGTTATTTTTATGTTGACACATAACAATTCTATCAAATATAAACATCAACCTCAAATTTACAAATCTATACATATCCCAAAATGAAAGTGACACAAATAAAACATTATGCCCTTCTCCACAAAATATGGTTCAACGTGTACAGGATCTGGGCAGGGTCAGTTTGTACAAAGCACTGGGAAACGCCTCTACATCCAGGGCCGGCAAAACGCTAAGGCAGCTTCCTGTGCTAGTACATCCAAATTTGCATCTCCAACTGCTTGCAAAACGAGGAGGAAAATTCCATGGACCCATAGTAAATTTAAAATCAAACCACACTACTCCTAGGAGAAGACAGAGTTAAATTAATTAACCGATCATCTTCTAGATTTGCTGGTGAGTTCAGCATGAAACCTACAGAAATTAGTGTTCCTACTACATCAGAAGTCATTTTTAGACATACTCAGCCCCAAATTATAAGGGAATAAAGTCTATCCATAAAAAATAGAACTTACAACTCAACCCTTTTGCATTACACCTGTTTCCTTTAAAAGATGTCTCTGTCTAGTAAAACTATCAAATGAGTTTATACTGTCTCCCAATACACTGTCTTATACTTTCAAATCTGTTCTCAAGCCAAAATCATTTTTACACAAGAGTAAAGATGTTATTTTCTTCTATTCCAGTAAAGGAACACAATATTTAAAGATTAAGTATATCAGCAAAAGTATCCAAGTATGATCTAGATTATTTTTATAATCATGACACAGTTTTTTCTGATACATGCAGTATGATGCTGAGAAAAACAGAATATAAAAAGCCTGGCCAATAATATGTTATGAAATATAAGTAAAACCAAAGGGAAAGAAAAGTCAATACAGACCAATGCACGGTAAGAACATTTTGTTCCCTAGATTATGCTTTTTCAGTATTAATATAAACAAAATTTAAGTGATCACTTAGATTGGTAGCTATTAAGTAACAGAAAAAATTATCAAAATTAAGCAGCATAAAAATCAGGATCCCAAATAAAAATAATTTTAAGCCAAAAATAGATTGATAGCACATAATACAAACTGCAGACATTTTGCTGTTATTTTCTTTTTTGTGTGTTTTTAATGCTAGGACTTCCCCTATGAACCACTGTTACCAAGTCAACCTAACTGTACAGCAGCCATCCATACCTTGGCAAATACATAAATTTAGGATCCAAAAAATGTTTGCAAGATTTAAAATATCAGATAATGTAAGACTTCATGGAGAGTGGAGTGATCTTATGATACAATGTATCTTATACACATCTTAAGGTTATTGGGAACATATTTGTAGCTGCCTGCTTTGTAAACCAGCTAATCACTTTTAACGGTAAGTAATGGTAAAATTGTATTTTACAAGATGATGACAAAATGCTATGCATGGAATTCAGTATAAAAGATATGTCAGCAGACTTCAGTATTCCTTCTGAAACTGCTTTATGTGAATACTTAACTCAGAAAACACTAGTAACAAACGGAATTATAAAACATTTATTTCATTCTCTTAAAAACACTTTCCCTCCTAAATGTATGTTTTATGCTCAATTACAAAAACATTTGACACTCAACATAATAACTTCCTAAAATCAAAAATGAAACTAAATATATTAAGAGCAAAAAACCTCATCACTTAACATGAATAGTATTTTATAACCTACAGTTAAATATTTTAGACAAATGACTGTTTCTTATGCAGTTATCATAATACTTAGTAATTATTAGCCTTCCAAAATGAAAAAGAAAAAAGGTGTACAAAAAAGCCACACATTTCACATGTTAGCAGTAATGTACCTAAGAGAAATCTGTGAATCAAGGTCGTATGTCCATCGTTTTTTCCCCTCCAAGATAAAAAAACTATTCCCAAGGGTCACAGTGAGACCATAATGCATTCATTCTCATCGTAAGAAAACAAAATACTTAAAATAATGGTACCATTAAGAAATAATGTTCTAAAGTAACATGCTGTCTCTAAAATCATTTGTCATTGACAAAGATGTTAAACTGTCCCTTTAAAAGCAAACTGACAAAGTATTTTTTAAATTACATGAGCTTATTTACACCATGTTTCTCTTTATATTTTTACTTGTATGAATCAAAAATAAAACAAGTTTTCTGTTAAGAACAGGAAGATATTATCATTAAAAGTAAAACTCCATTAGGAGTGGATACCACTTCAGTCTAGGATTCACATTATCTGTTAAATTTTTTGTTCACTCGGACAAGTTTCTCTAATATACGATTATTATAAAAGTATACAGTCCTAATAAATTAGCCAAATAAAAACACATATACACTGTATTTCCTTCTAGCAAATTAAAATTTTTTAAATGTTTATAATATAAAGATGTGTATGAAAGAAAAACTACTTGGAAGAAACACACCCAATACAGTTTGTCTTTAATTTACTTTTGCTAATCATTGTATAAGCAGTTCCAATAAAGCTCACATTACCTAATCTAACAAAATAGCCAGGGAAAAATTCTTGGAGGATTCTGTGTTCTCCAAATCACAAATATAAAATAATTTTAGTATTTCACAGGAATAACCATCGTTTTCCTAATAACTGTTTTCTGCAGAAATTATACATCTTTCCCATTCCGTCGCTTTTAAATATGCCATTTCCAACTAAAACTCATTCACAAACATCTAAAAATAATCACAACTGTCAAAACACAAATCACTAGAAATATACAGCTTTAATCTAGTTATAAAGCCAGTTTCATATCACCAAAAGATACTGTTAAATATCAGAATTTTGAAATGCCCTAACGTCATATTAAACTACGATAATTAAACTACGAGGCTGAAGCTCCGACGTCTGACACAATTCAAATTTTTTCATAGTTCAATCTGTAAAAAAGACTTTCATAAAAGCCTTACAAATCCAAAAGTTGGTATAATTAATGACTTAATTATTTTTCAATGGTCGTATCTTCAGCCCACAATTAAATACCATGATATACCTAATGTCCATATTGTAAGATTGTCATCAAATCTGAGTTTTATAAATGTCTAATACTGGACAACAACATGACGTTTCTTCTGTATCTAATCCTCTTATTTAATAACTGATTCCTAACGATTTAAGCCCTAAATGATACTCAACCTCCCATCTGCTTGTAATAGAGTTCAGTTATTATTTGTGGCAAGAATTTTTGTGACTGTACTGCTCAGCACTTCTATTTACATCAGCAGTGCTAAATGCCCAATGGTGAGAGGGGAGCCAATCAGATGGCAGATTAGATGTCAACTCAGAGGCAGCTGTCTGGAGACTATTACAGCCAGTTTACCTCCACAATTCAAATTCCAAACCTTGCAAAGGAGATCAAGTCGCTCTTTAGGCTCAGCCTACTAGCAAGAAACAGCCAGAGCGCAAAACACTTCCTAATAACGCCGTAGGAGTTGGGCGACAAGAAAATCCAAATAAATATGACCCCCGAACGATCCATTTTCCCAGAGCTGCTACTTTAGCAGATTTACTAAATAAAATGCATGCCTAGTCCGTGATCAAAACAAGTTCAATCGATCCAGAATGTGTTCCCCTACCATAGCTTCTCAGTTGAAGGTGACTCTTTTCAAGAGGCCCGTGAGCCCAATAATGGATTTCCACGGCTATTCTTAGGTACGAATCGATGTATTTTAGAATATTTCATCTCCCCGTCTTGGTAAATGTTGCTCTCCTTCCTGCCCGTAAACATCCACACTCAAAAGCCTGCACCAAACAACTCGAGAAAGGCTGCCCGGTTGTCAGAAAGCTAACCTATCATCTCCCCGGCCTCTACCTCAGAGGCTAGGAATGGGACTGTGGCCCTCGGTGGAAGAAAGTTCCTTCCTCTGGGCCGAGCGAAGGCATATTGTTAGCGCCACCCTAGCGGATCTGGGCAGCCCCCGCCCCCGACCGAACCGGCCCGGGGACCTCCTCCGCACAAAAGCCCCGAACCGGGCCCATCGCCCCGCGGGTGGGGCCTAGGGGCCTCGACCCGTCCCGGGGCCTGGGACTTGCGGGAGCGGCGAGGGTGCCAGTCCGGGCCCGAAACCCCGGGTGGCCCACTTGGCTACCGGCGGGAGGCGGCCGCGCCCCCGCCTCCCCCGCGAGCAGACGCGAAAAGTGCGCGGCGAAGAAAGAAAGTCGGGCAGGCTCGCGGGCGGCGCGCGAGGCCCGGCGGAAGCAGGCCCCGCCGGCGGGGTTACCTGGGATCTGCTCAGCGCCGCTCCGGGGGTGCCGGGGCTCATCGCGGGGTGGCTCCTTTGTTGCGCGGCCGCCCAGGCTGGGCTGGCGGCGGCGTACGGGGCGCCCAAGTCCTTGCCCAAGCCCATGCCCGCGGCCGCCTGCTGGCCGTCCACCGCCG